AGTAGTAGTAGTAGTAGTTGTTGTTCATAACTCGGGACTCCTGCGGGGCCGCCTCCTCCAGTGCTTCCAGCAGCAGCTTCCTCAATCATACAGCAAAGATCTAGCGCAGTTCTGCGAACTCGAGCCCGAAACATGCAGGTGTAGGATACTCTTCCGGGGTAGAAGGCTGAACACCTCTGGAACTTCCGGAACACGTTTCAAGCGCGGACGAGCGACGTCTTGAACTTGTAGACCGGGACCTGACTCAGCAAAAACGCCAGAGAAAGGGGGCGGCTTCCTTTCTAGTCCAAGCACCGGACTCCACCTGCCGTTCGCTGCTTGATAACGCCCAAGTCCTGTCACTCCACGGCTACCACGAGCCAAAGTCTGCCGGAGTGCTGCCTCGACGAAGGTCTCCCGTAGGTCTATGCGGTCGTCTGCCACCGATCCTGGATCAGCGGCAGCAGGTCCGGGATGATGTTGGGGCAAAGGAGGGAGGCCTACGAAGTGATCACGCAGGGGCTTGAAGTTGGCATCCGAGAAGAAGTGGAGGCCAACCTAAGTAGACTAACACCTGAGCACAGTTCCCACTGTGGCCGAGTGCACGGCTCGGCCATCCTGCAACCCTTCATCCTGATCATCCTGCAGGTGCCGCAACTGTCGAAGCACACCTGCCGCCAAGAACACGACTGGGTCCTGCCTTCACGCGAGAACGATATACACCAAAGGACCTACAGATGATCCAGAGATTGCAGTGTGCTGAATGGTGCAGGCGTGCTCTTTGGGCTTTCGGACAGCCTCCGTTCACGTGTCTTGCCGAAGGCGACAGGGAGCCGCCCGAGCGTTCGCCGTCTGCTCGCGCTCGTCTTCGCCCATCCTGCGAAAACCTCCGCAGCTGCCCCGAGCCCCACCATGAGTAGCCCGAGCTTCGATGGAGATCTGGGGATGCCACCAAGGGTGCAGCCAGCGGAGAAACTCTTCCAAGCATAGGATGCTGTCGCTGTCGTCTCGACACCTTGACTTTGCGCTGAGAACACATCTTCTCAAAGCCCGTGCGCTTCGCACGCAGGTGCTCCTGATTTTGATCAGCGCAGTCGCAGCTGTCGAAACCGCATCTTTGCACCGGACCGCACCAATTTCAGTGCCATCCCGCACCGAGATGCTGCTCTTCGTTTACAAGCCGTGCTCCTTTTGAGCAGCAGCATGGGACCACCCAGGAGGCCAACGGGAGGATGCCAAAGCATGTTTTTGCTACAGGTCGTCATCCTCTTCGCCACCTCGATCCTGGCTGCATTCGCTTTTTGAATATGGTGCTGTTGATGCGCTGACCTTCCTTCCCCCTTCAAGCATATCCAAACAGGGTCCCTTTCCTGGGTCTTCCGCGACATCACGTCCAGGAGGCTCTTGAGCTGAACAGCAGCAAGAACTGAGATGCTAAGAACAACAAACAGGATCTCACTGGGCCGCCCCACTGGCCCCAGCTTCAGCTTCGCCGCGACCTCCAAGGCCTCGATATGCCGCGATGCAATGCTATGGAAGACAGCATCAGCAAGCGAAACACGGCGCAGTTTCATGTTGTCTGTTTTTCCCGTTTATGATATCAGAGGTCTTCTGCGTCTTTTTGAAGTCGGGCTCCCGGCCGTGGTTCCGTCCTTAGGGACACTCCGATGCGCATCCCAGCCCGAACACGATATCCAATGAAACGTCAGAATTGAGGTCTGATGCCTTGTTCTTCACGTTGCAGTCTGCCCCGTTGTTGAGGAGATATCGTGCAACATTGTCCTGCTAGGCAATGCAGGCATGCAGGGACCTCCGGCACTGCAGACGTTGACAAAACACGATCCCTCGCCGCCATCACACTGAGCAGCAAGGCATTGTTTCCTTGACCGCACTGGCGCGGGGTGCAGAGACTTTCGAGTGTCTGGAATCATGTGTTCACATCCGGTCTCAGCGCAGGGCCCATGAGGTCCTGCGCGTTTACCTTGGAGCTGGAAGGCACAAAGCACTCACCACATCGCGGCCCTGAGTGCCTCGTGTGCAACCCAGTCACATCAACATTCTTGGCCACAAGAGCCTTCAAGATTTTCAGATGACCTGATGGTCACAGGTACTCGTCCCAAGCTTGCTTGCACGCACCCTCACGATCTGTGGCCGTGGGCCCTTCTCAGCAGCCAGAATGGTGCAGGTGCTCTTGTCCTGCGAGCAGTGTAGTGCCGAATGATCTTCAGCATCTTATCCGCTCTGCTGAAGCTTCATGTCCAAAAGGCAAGGCATCGGCGAGAAGTGCTTGTATGAGCTCCGAGCTCAGAGCTACGTCCTTGGAGCGAGCGTTGGGGTTGGACTTCGTCTTCAGCAGCCATTTCGCCAAATCCTCACCTTGACGCGAAGGAATCCACTCCTCCAGAAATTTGGACCAACTCTCTGAGCCCGGAGCGCCCGGTCTCCACGGCATAGAACCTCAGAGTCACACAGGGCCCGGTAGATCCTCAGAGGGGATGCACCACAAAAAAGCTTCTCGTCAGTGCTGTGGTGCCAAAGTGTTGGAGGGGATTTGGCCACTACGTACTGCTGGCACGTGCTTGCGCTCACGCCACGGACTTTGAACTCCTGTCTGCGACGGTACATGATTCATGGCTGTGCCATTGCTCCAAGCAACAACAACGTGTAGCCACGGCGATCTGAGCGCTCCAGCCCCACTCGAAATCCTGCCGGTGAAGATCGAGACTTTAAACACATGTCTGGACGTTGCTGCAATCTCGCCTACGAGTCGCATCACAAGGTCATCACCCGACCTGGGTGGTTGGCGATGTGGCACACTTGGAGGATCATGGGACTTAATAAGTAAGGTTATAAGTACGTTAATTGGGGTTATAAAGTATAGTTACCTTATCTATAGCCCTAGTTACTAAGTCCCATGATCATGGGAAACACGGCTTCCTGAGGCCATGACTCCACGGCGGCCAGCATCGCTGCATTCTGGCGGAGCGAGACCCCCCTCCCCACTCACGTGCACTCTGAACCCAGAAAGCCCAATACCCCTTAAGTAAGGAATAAACCTTAAATTATAGGGGCCTGAATATATGATCTAAGGTATATTCCTTAATTAAGGGGTATTGGGCTCTCTGGGAAGATCTCTGAAGCCAGGTCCTGCCTGCCCATCAGCAGACTTGGCATTGACATTGGCTTGGCCTTTCAGCAGCAACTCCGCTGCCTGGCAGGCTAACATGAAGAAAGTCTCAAAGCCTTGCGGTGTGGTTCTGCCACATGAGGCATTCTGACAGAAGTTCATTCTCAGCATAACACATTGTGCTGAAAGGCCTCCTTCATGTCGTTGCGGCAAGCATGCAAGAGGGCTGTCCAGCCATGGTGGTCCGCCGCTTCGACGTCCACTCGGCACCTACCAGACAAACCCTCCACAGTGAAGGCTTCAAGAACCTTGCACTCCTCTTGAACTTCAATCGCCGCCGAGACCCCGAACTGCAAATCGGAAGCCATCTTGCCCTTAAGGGCCGGGCTCCACAAGGAAGCCGATGATCTGCCTTTGCAATTCTTGGCGGCGATCACACTTCAGCTTCTGGGAGCGTTCCAAAGCTGGCATTGCAAAAGGAAAACTAGGGGATTGAAAATTGAAATATCTTCCTTGCCTACGGATCGCAACAAGAAAATGTTGCAGAAGAGCCCAGCCCAGTGGCAGGGAACTTTGTCCTCTGCAGGCAGCTGCCAGCATCAAGGCGGTCTGACCTGGCGAGAGAAAGGAAGATAACCAAAATAGTACTTTTTGGGATTTGCGTCCTTTGAGGACTAGCGTCTGGTGTAAAAGCGCTAATGCAAAGCTTCCGAACTGCCGCAGGACATCTATGTCATCATGCATGATGCCCATTGGAGATCCGCAATTCAGAGAGAAAAACCGCCCAATCGCTGAACCCCTGCCTCTCGCAGTGCGGCAGTGGAGATCTGCCCCTTCCGACAGAGCCTCGACCACTCCCCGGAAGTTGCCAGAGCGGGCTGCTTCCAGGAAGCGGGTGTGCAGCTTGCGGGTTACCTCGCGGTTCTGCCAGGACAAAACCGCTGCCTATTGCCCCGAAGGCCGCAGAAACTGAGATTCCAGAAAGGACCAAGCTACGTCGTCCTCGACTTCGGCCTCCATTCCAAAGCCATCCTCCTCCGCGCGAGCACGCGGAGTGAACTCCGTCCGCTGGAGCACATTTCGCATCGCTTCCAGCGCCGTCTTCCGGGTACTGGGCGTGAGCTCGCCATCCGCATTGATGCCGTCGGAGGACCTCTGGGCCACGTCGGAGGCCTCACTTGCCGCGAAGTCCAGGTTCTTCTCCTCTGACTTTCCACGAATCCTGGCTCAACTGCCGCAAAACAAAACAACGTGACCCGCGATGCTTCGAAGCTGAATCCCGAAAGTCAAAACACAGCTCTGGACCCAGCCGGGCGTCTTCTTGCCGAACCGAGCCAGGCGATGTGTCTCCGGCACGACGAACGTCCTTGTCAACTTGTAGAGCGTAGTAGAGATGCACAAGCCTGCTCAACTCCTCTTCAGATCTTGCTACCCCTGTATGACACGCACCGGTGAGTCTGGCTCAACTTGGAAGGGCATTCGCCGAAGCCTTCGGAGCTACCGAAATCCCTAAACTTCTGGTTTGAGGGTTCCCCATCGGCGATCCGACACCTCAAACCTTGAGAGAAACCTAACCTCCGAATCGTTTCAACTGCTGGGCTTCAGGAATACCTGCCTTCCTAGAGCCGAAGCCCTCCCGTTTCGGGGATCCCACACCCCTAAAGCCGTTTAAGTCCTGTTTGCGAACACGCGGAACGCTAAACCTGTCGGGACACCCTGACCTCTCGAGTTGTTTGTCTCCCAAACCCTAAAACCTACTCCCCGAACCCTCATAGCACCCTCCCTTGCAGGAGCACGTAAATTTAGAGGACCCTTATAGCACCCGATTTTACAGGAAGGAACCCTTAAAGTTTGTTTTACGTCCCATCTGAAGCCAGCCGAAGGGTCGTGCAGCTGCTGCAGAGCGATCCGAGGCCGAAGCCTCGCTGCCAGAGGCCCTGCAAGGTCCTTGGCTTCTTTGTTCTTTGGGGTTCTGGGGTTTCTTTTGTCTTAGGGTGTTGGGCGTGGGGCTTGATTTGGGGTTGGGGTTTAGGGTTTTGGGTTCGGGTGTTTTGGGCTTTGGGGTCTCGGATTTAGGGTTTAGGGTCTGGGGTTTGGGGTTTAGTTAGGGTCAGGGTTTTGTGTTTTCCGGTGCTTTGGGGGGATCTTGACAGGGGCTGTTGTACTGGAGTGGCTGTTGCAAACTAGTTTGATTCTCGGCCGGTAACATTTTGGGAGTTGATTTGGGTAGCATGGTCTCAAAGACTTCGGGTTCGCATGATGCGTATGTCAGAGTTCACAAGGTTTCGGCATCTGCTGGGCGGATCCGTTGAGGTTGTCATGGTCTCGGGTTTACAATGTGGTGGTTTACGTGTACGGCGCGTGAGGCTGCGGGCTTGGGGCTTGGAGTGGTAGTCATTCTGAAAATTAAGGAACTTCAGGCTCGTTTAAACCATGCCTTCTGTAATTGAAGACGGATTGAGGCTTCGGGTCTTGGGCCCCATTTCTTGCTTCAGGGTTCCGAAGTTTACGAACCATCGTTTCGGTGAATTCTCCGGTTGAGGGTAGGGTCAAAGTGTCAAGAGGGCTCAGGATCGCTTATCAGTACTTGCAGCAGGAGGCTGTGACAGATCCATTTCGACGGCCCCAAGCCAGGGCAACCCATGGCAGACCAGCGAATCGTTGCGAAGGAGAGCTGCCAAAGCGGTCACGCAGTTGTCGCAAAAGGAGCTGCTTGAGTGCGGGCTTACGCCGGGAGAGATGAGAGATGGATAGACTTCCAGTGCCAACCTTTGAAGAAGCAAGCCTTCAGCTAGGATACATCTTGATCGTACCAGCGACTTAACTCTCCGGGCACACAGCAAGTCATGACATTCGGATGAGGATAGCAGTCATGTGTGTGTTGACCATCAAACTTTTGGCTCATGAAGCTTACTCGGGCTCAGAGCAGAAAGACGCGAGGCCCACAGATCGGGGACATGATGTTGCATTTGAGAGTTCCGAGTAGTCGGTCGGATAGCCGCAATCAGTCTTGGGATCGAGCTGAGACCTGGAACTGAAGCGGTCGCACAGCTGGCATCCAAGGCACACACCAGCTTTCCATAATTGTCCACACTTCTAGATTCTAGAGTCAATGCATGCTTCTGAAGCCCAGTCGGCGTAAAGCGTTTCTGAGTCTCTGAATCAAGTCATGACATGGCGTCCATGACACCTAGCTTGAGAGCTGCGCAGTGTGCATGATGGTCACGGCAGATTGACGTGAGACTGAGATCGACTCGAAACTTCCCTATCTGAACAACCTGCAAGCTGCAAGCTTGCTTTATGCTTTCGTTTACAGCGAGCCTGCGTCAACATTGTGAGCTTTTGCTCGGCATCTGAACAGCTTCCGAGTGCTGCTTTGTCAGATTCGTCGTGTGTACTGTGTTCCAGACCCGTTTCAATTTGTGTTCGTTTGTCCCTTAAACTGAGCAGTGATCCTGACTTCACTCCTGTGAACTTCTGTCATTGTGGGCCGTTCTCGTGCTGCTTGCTGGTCTCATATGCTGTGGATTCTTGTCGGCGCAGGGCCGATGTCCTCCGTTTCACAGGCTTCACAGAAAAAAGTCTGCAGAATTGGAGTCTGGTAAACCTGGCACACCTACATTCCTAGAAGCGAGTGCATAGCCATAAATGCTTCCGTTACTCAACACATATTAATCAGTATGAATGATGCTCTGAATGCCCGCTCAGACCAATGTCGGCATTGCAAGAGCTATAGATGCCATGAGTCACAGCAGCTGGCATGTAGCCTGCTCTCTTGATAGGCATGTGTGAGCATGCGATGTGCAGAGGTCTCTCATCTAACGACAGATGGGGCAACCCTTCGGCACCCAAACTGCATAAAATCGCAGGAATCGAAAATGTAAAACTGGCACTCGTGGGTTCCTCACCTACCCTCAATAAACTAGGGGCCTGAATTTTAGCCTGAAGTTATTTTTCTAAAGAAAATATCAAGTCGGCGGCAAGCATCGCACGACCTTCAACATGCCGGCTGTCGATGGCTTTCGTCTAGGCAACAGCCCTCTCTGTACCTTACGTACATGGAGAACAATCGACCACGACATTTTTCTAACCATTACATCTTTGGGTCTTTTTTCGTATTGAAATCCCTGATCACGTTTGGTACTATGCTCGAACATATGCATTTGCTCTGGCTCGGGACAGGCTTAGCCGGTTGCCAACATCTCAATTTTTTTCTCCTCATCATTCCACGAACTCCAACAACCAGGAGCCATCCTTGTAGACCTTTCAGGGCTGCTTGGCGATTGGGAAATGCAGGGGTTAGGATTTAAGGCTGGAGGTTCGCTCCTTGTCGGGCGGGTTGCCGGCTCCAACGCCTCCGCTCCAGCTTGCCTCGCCGTGGCCGCCGGACTTGGCGTAGAGCTCCCGGTTGCCTTGCTGTTTGAAAAAATGGAAAACTCGTCGAAACAAACGTGTGGCGAGCGGGTGGCGAACCGGATTCTTCCGGCATGATCGGTGCGGAATATTGCTGAATGAAAGGGCGTGTGAAGATGCTTGGAACAGCCACAAACTCAATGTTGGTGCAGTTCCACGTCAGAGCACAGACACGTACAAGCAATTCAAACCCAACCCTCAACCCCAAATCGTCGATCTTAAAACTCTGTCAGATAAGCGGCTCTCTGCATTGATGATTTTGAAGCTCCCATCCGTGGCGGGGACAAAGGTCCAAATCCCATCGTTCCACACTTTGCTGGGTGGCGAGCCAGCTCCCCAACCCCATTCCTAGCTCGAGCGCGCGGGGAATGCAGATGTGACGCTACCAGCAGTAAAGCAACACGAACACGAAGAGCTTCTTTACTTTCTTCGTGGTGTATCTTCCCCGTTTTCTGCATCTAGTGAGCAAGGAGCAAAAGAAAGGTCTACGTTACTCTTTGCCAAGATGCCCAATTCGAATCAGGCGGGCTCTTCGCATACAGAGCTCGGTTGGACAGTTGGTTTACGATTCGGAACTGATTCTCGCCGTGGGGTACTAAAGTCCAGTAGCCATCCTCGCCGACTTTCTCCTTCGGCGTTCCGGCCCCACAACCCTCCTCCCAATTGAAGCCTTTCTTGGCGAAGAGTGCCCGGTCGGAATATTTGTTCACGATCCTCAGCTTGACACCAGCCGGCAAGGCCAAGCGCGTCGACTTCGACCAGCCCAACTTGCAGCAGCACTTGTAGGCATCGCTGCCGTCATCACCTCAGGGAGCAAGATGCGGCTTAGCAACACAATTACGAGGAAACTGTCTCGGCCACACGCGCGCTACTCGTACCTTCAGGGATCCCGTCTCGCCCCAAACTTGGCCTGCCGTGCCCTCTGGTCCGCCGGGACAGGCATAAGATGCACAGCCTTCCGCGCCCTTGTCAGCCAAGTACTTATAGCAAGCCGGCGGTTTCTTGCCCTGGGTTCTTACGTAAGTGGAGAACTCTCCAGGGCTGGCGCCACAGGCCGGGATGTTAATTCCGGCAAGCAAGGTGCAGGAGTTCTTCTTTGAGACGGAGAAGCCCTCGCAGTCGGAATTGCTGTCACACTGCTTCGCGCAACTAGCGGGAGAAGCGCTGGTGCTTTTGAGCTCCGAGGCTCCTCCCGAATCCTCGCAGTGGGCGTTTGCATAGGTTGTGTAACCAGAGATCGTCAGGGCGGGTGCTTCACTTTGAGCTTCCTCCGCCTTTCCTGTCTCGCACTGACTCTTGTAGTCAGAGCAGCAAGTGTTGCCCAGAAATGTCTTGTCACATCCAGGGAAGCACTGGCATTCGTTCATCAGCGTCATGAAATCGAAACTCTTGGTGCAGCCGAAGGACTGACAGTTACCCTTCTTCTTCTTGAAAGCTCCGCCTTCCTTCGACATCTTGCCCAGGGTCTTCTCATCGAAGCAGAAGTTCCAGTTCAGGTTGAAGGTGAGGTCGTCGCCTGCAGGCTGCTCTTGATCTGTCGTCCCGGTGCATCCAAAGTTCCAGTTGTAGTTGAACTTTGGTGCCGCTGCCGATCCCATGTCGTTTGCATGGGTGCTCCGGCTCTCACGCCGGAGCTGCCGCAGGGACAGATCACACGCTTCGGAGTCGCAGGCATCGTCCAGCGCCAGAGCACTCGTGTCCGCTGGAATCTCTTCGGCCAAACCCCAGCATGAAAGGGCAAGCGCCGCCAATGCCAACCGAAACATGTCGGTGGAAACGCTTCTAGCAGTGACAAAAGCAACTTGAGCCAATGGTCCAACAGCAACAACACGACATGTGTGCTTGCAAGTCACGACACCGCTGATGCGGCATCCAAATCAAGCTGAGAGCACAAGTTGACGGCTTTCGATGTGTGCAACGCGCTTGCACGATCGCGGAAACTATCAAATCTCCCTGCCAGATTGCCCCTCTGGCACTCAACCTAAGGCTACTCTAAATGCATGGCCACAGCCGCTTCTGGGATGCATGCCATGCCAAATTTAAATCGAAACCTAAGGTGCGCTATGAGCCTCTGCCAACACAAACGGCAAGAAACAAAAGTCTACCACACTATAGATAGCAGATAGCACAATGCTTGCAGTTATGTCACGAATGCATGACGGTGTTACTCTCTCTCTGCTGAGAATACTTTGCATGACGTCTCCTCAAGGTCTTCCAGAAGGCGATCACACCGCAGATATCACTATCACTGGCTGGTGCTTGCGAGCACTGTCCGCAATCGTCTTTCACAAATTCAGAACCATGTCCCAACATATTTGATGTCTGACTGCAATCCTGAAGTTCTTACCAACGTTGAACTGAGCTAGTTTAGCATACTATCCGGCCAAGCAACCATGTGCTCCTGTAGCCTCAGCAATGCACCTGCCAGGCTAATCATTTCGACCCTAAGGCTGAGGAGTGTTGCCCTCAGAAGAAAGCCAGCGTACGAGTACGAGTACGAGCTTGTTCCTCGGGCATTATCCGGAGATCAATCCGCCTGCGGCGGAAGAGAGCGACTCTGCAATGCCCATAAAGGCTTCCTGGAGTGTGATTCCGTCGACAGACTCCATGTAGCTGCTCTTGCTAGCAAAGTCGTCTTGGCCTGCGCTTCGTTTTGCAGTAGCCACAATCTGAGTGAGCACAGACTTGCCCTGTGCATCTCCCGGAGGGAACTGAACGGTGTGTAAACGGAGGGCCTGGCTGGACGATCCACCTCGTACTGGAGCAAACAGCCGTCCGAGAGACGTGGCTGGGAAAGGGGCCCACCCGTCGGACAGCAGCACGATCATACAGCGGTGCCCGGTCGGTGTTTGGGCCACGTGCGGGATGATGGCTGAAATGGCAGTTTCAAAGCAGGTTTGATACCCAGGCTGAAGAGTACGAAGCCAGGTGTCATTGAAGTCTGCGATTGGCAATAAGAGTGGCCCCTTCTGCACTTGCGTGTTGAAGGCCAATAGCGAGACTCGGTCCTCCGCACTGCTGTGCAAACGTTTTTCCACGAAGCTCTGCACTGCTGCAATCGCGCAGCCGAGACGATTGGGATGAGACTGCCGCCAAGGCAAGGTTTGCGGCAGTACATCTTGGTAACCCATCGACCCGGAGCTGTCAATCAGGAAGATCGTGTGGACAGGAACACTCTTCTTGTGTGAGCAGGAAAAGTGGTGGCCATCAGCCGAAACGATTCCACCATGCTGCGCCACATGTCTCTGAGACTCTTCAGCTGAGAGTGGGCTGTGCCACAGCGGCAAAGTGCAAAAGGATGGGTGCTCCCCGTCTTTCGTATGAGACTCGTGTGGGCAACGGTGGTTGCACTTGCCGAAGATCTCTTGGTCCTCATTCGAGCAGGGGTCCTTGAACGCAATGCTCTCCCAAAAGGCTGCATGTGTAAACTCATCCTTCGGAACTTCTGGATTGGGCTTGTATCGTCTCTGCGAATGTCTGCGACCAGGCATTGCGGAGATGCAGCAAAGTTGATTTTTCGAGTAATCCGCACACAGCTTCACGTGCGTGTGGCCACCTCGGCACTTCAAGGTTGCCAGCAAAAGCTGCTACTAATGTTCTCTCCGGCCTATTCCGCACATGCACTGCAACTGATGAGGCCTGCAGAAAATGATGTCACATTCTTAATTGCTAGAGTCTTTGCCCGGGCTTCGTGTCAACCCAGGTTTCAGCCGACTTGCTCTTCCTCAAACCGTCTCTGGGGGGCACATGAACTCAAACGAACTGAGCTCTGGACGCCCTGCCCGGTGGCAGTACATGTTGCACATCTCTGCTACGCCGGACTCAGATGGTGCATACTTGCGGGAACCCAATTTGAAGACGTCCTGGTCCGAGACAAAATAAGTCCTTCGCATATTGCCGTGTCTGGTGTCATGTTCTCCAGAATGCTCCCAGGGCAGCGTACAGTAGTAGCCGCAAGTTGGACATTTCGCATCGCAATAGTGCACTAAGTTCTCGGTCGTAGAGTGAATGTGACTCCCTTCGTGCTCTCGACTCTTGGCCGGAATGACTTTGCAACATGTCTTCCGAACACCATTCTGTTCTGTTTCGATGGAATCGTAGTCGAACTCGTCATGCTTGCCCGTGAACTTCTCTTTCTTCATCACCAACTCGGAATAGATCTCGCATATTCCCGGTGCTTCACATTCATGTGGGCACTGGTGTGGTTGATCACACATACAATCCGATTTGCCTTCTGCATGGAAATGGTCTTGTACCGAACACATGAAGGAGCACTTTGGAAACGAGCATTTGTTCGGACACACAATGATGTGACACTCGCATCGGTCATGCATCAAATCGTGTGGGAGAACACATGTGTGAGAACATCCAGTCAGTGAGCACGGCTTGCCACAATGATGTCGAGATGATCCACACATGTGGGCTTCGTCGGGGGAGTGCCCGGGCTTCAGCACACATCGCCCACCACAGTTTCCCCGTGAGCTGAGAGAGCACTCGTGCCCACAGGTGTGGGAAGCGTGACCGCAGTCATGTTGTCCGCTATGGCCGGCAACCAATGTGCAAACGCTCGCGCTGCCGGACATCTCCTGGCAATACTTGCAGAACGAGTGGCATCTGTGATCTGTACCGCAGTCGTGGGCACCTTCTGCATGACCAACTGGCAGCATGCATGGCAAGCGACACTCGGTGCAAGTCATGCTGCAGACGCGCAGTTGCTGATGGAGCCTGACCAGGACAAAGGCTGCTTCTTCGAATCAGACCATGACATCACAACATGAAGCATTTCCAGCGACAATTGCGAAACAAATGGCAAGAGCAATCCAGTACCCTTCGAAACAAGACGCAACGACACGCACCAGGGATCAGTCTTTTCTTAAGTTGTCCACCCAACTACATTTGATAGGTTTGTGTCTCTTGGTGCATGGGCTTGCTTCTCACAACCAAATACTTCACAAGCAGAATAGGTTGCCTGTGTCCAAAAATGATAGCGCAACCTCCCGGCCTGGCGAGCATAGTCTTCGTCTGCATCATCAGGCGCTGCGCATCACCTTCCTGAGCGATGTGTTGTATGTTCGCCTCGAGCCACGCCACAATGCGCTTCTGTCGCCTGTCTGACAGCGCATTCAAGACCTGTAGAATCTCGTCTGCTGTCAGGGCATTCCTCGCAATCTCCCGTACCTTCGCGATCAAATCAGCCATGAGTTCGCAAGGCACCTGCACCTCGTGGCAGCCATCCCGTTCGATCACTTTCGCCAGAAGAAGGCCTTCGTCTGCCAAAGCAGACAGCACTTTGTTAGCAGGTTCCTCGGTGCTTGTGTCATGCGCATCCTGCACCAAGGTAAACGTTTTGTTGCTGCGAAGATGAAGCAGTGGAGTTGGTCCATCCTGCAAATCGCACGCAGGTACACTCAGGAAGACTTTCGAGGGCACGAAGCTTGCATTAATTGCGGGATGGCGCACCTCTGTCATGGCCATGCAACCAGCCATCACAGCAGCCGGCAAGCAGTCGCTGAGGCTGGCAAGCAGCATCTTGATCTTGTTCTGGTCCTAGCACTTAACCCGAGTTCAACTGGCTAAGAACTGGCAAAGAAGGCTGCTAATCGCGCTCACATCTGGGTGCATCTGCGTTAGAGAACGACCGCAGGATTTAAATTTCCCAATCGCAAATGTTTTGCCGGCCTTTAACAAACTCACAAGCTGAGGCCGTTGCAGTGGGCGTCCAGTCTCTCATTGCCATCTTTGCCATCAGAAGCTTGGTATTTCGCATGAACTGGCGGCCAGTCTCAAAGCAACGGCCAGACTCCTGCAAACAGGGGTGCAGGCTCAACACAGTGACAAGTCAAAGCTCATCTTCCCAAAATGCAGGTGCTTAGTTACTTAGCAGCGGAATTGTGACCACCCTGACGAATCCACAAATTTGGACGCAGCGAGTCTCCAGCGGCCTGCACTGCTTGCACCTTGCTGGTCAGTGAATTGAACTCGCGGTAGAATTCGGAACGACCCAACGCCGGAAACGGCAATATGCCGACCTTACGTATCAGCACATGCAGGCAATTTTGTGAACGTTTGCCAGCTGCAGCTGAGTGGTCACAAGGGTGGTGTTTGCTGGGGTAAGCCCACGGCGCGGCCCTGATACAAGCGCAGAAAGAAATTGTCCTCTTTGTCTCTGGCAATGATGTGCTGGATTTTCTGCTTGAACTCCTGCGCCACTTCTTTGGCATCTGAGACCACATCCTTCACCACGATTTGGAACATTCCGTTGAAGAGCTCGTCGTCTCCCTGAATCAACTTCGCACCCTGTTGCATGCGTGAGAAGATGTTTGCTGTGTCAGAGTCGAGGCGGTTCTCGGTGCGGAAAAGAGAAACATGGGAAATCGCCGCATTGAAGACCTAAGAGCGCTGTGTAGAAAGAGCTGCAGCAAAAATCCACCCTCCTTCGGATGCCGTATGACCAACACAAACGGCTTCTGCAACAACCTGTGACCAGCCAAGTTCTTGGCAATGTAGAAACTCTAGCATATCCAGACGCCGGCATCAGGTCTGCACTCACAGCTAACCTGAGACTGGCGCCGAAAGAAGCATGTCCTCCTGCGCGGATCGTTCGAAGGAGCCAAGACCCTCAAAGTCCAGCAAAACGTATGTTACATCTTCGAACTCTCGGACCATCATCCAAATTCCGTCGGTGCCTAAGGTCGAGACCAAGGCGGCGCATAATACGATCGGATACCAAGAACCCTAGCACCTGCGCCACGAGTGGGTTGACTAGAGCAACAATTGGTCTGAGGCTGGTGCAGCGGCCTCCTGAAGAGTCGAAGCATGTACCTCAGGTTCAGGGTTGAGGGCTCTGAGTTCAAACGGCTGTTTGGGCTCAGTGAATTTATTCTTTAGTTTCGAGTCTTCATGAAGAGCTTTACAGTCTGCAGACAGTTGGCCTGCCAGGTGGTTCAGCATGTAGGATTTGCCAGTCGACTGCTTGCCCATGCTGGATATGACAACGACAGGATTCTCGTTCGTCTCCAAGATGAGCTCATAGAGGCCGAAGGAGATGAAGCCGGAAAGTTCGCTCAAGTGGGTGAAGTCTGCAACATCCTCGCGCAGGCCATCCTTCAAGATCACGAACGACTCGTTCTCCGCACGTGCAATTTGAAGTGGCACCATGCAGATCAAATTCCGCAGAAGCCTGATGACATCACACATCTCACAAAAAATGCATGCCTTGTAGAGGCAAAGCAGACAACATCTCGCAACAAAAACAGACCGCGTTCCGAAAGAATTGCTTGGGGCCGCTGATGTCAAGGCATACTGGTACCCTTCACAGGTCTTGCGGACTCAAGCGACGTGTTGTCTCTAATCTTTCCGGCTGCCACGGAAAAGCCATTTTGCCGACGAAGGGGCTCCGAGAATGTGCTTTGCTTCGCACTGTGCCCGTTTCCAACGTCGCAGAAGGCCGGGTCCACACTGGCGAGGGGAACATAGGATACGTCCTTATCTCGACAGCAACGAAGTGCTTAAAATCAATACGGGTAGCTCTCTAAATTAGGGTCCCTCTTTAGGTCCCAATATAGTACGGCACCCGTATAAAAAGGACCCTAAAAGGGACCCTTACCCATACGGTGTCGATTTATCAAGTTTCGCTGAACCAAGCCCAAGCATCCAGTTTCAAGTCTTCGAGGGAGGGCTTCTGCGTGTCTTGCCTCAACTTGTGGATGAGCTCATGGATATACTGACGGAGGTCGTTTGAAATTTGGTCGTTCTCATCGGCGCATGCTGGACCAAGGATGGTCAGCTGGGTCGTCCGGGACACCCGTGCCGTGGAGCTGGAAGCCAACGCAGGCAGCATTGTGAATTTCGAAAGAACCTGGTAAAGAATGTCAAAGCAGGAGGTACTGCAACTGTCAGCTTTTGCGGCCGCTACATCTGAAGCTGCACCCATTTGCTCCATAGAGCACACCTGCTCAGCTGTTTGCAACTTGAGGCGCCACCCTCTGACAGTACGTGCAGCGGGATCAGCCAGCACAAGGAAGTCCACTCCGTATAGGCGCACCACATCTACCGAAGGCACACCTTGATCAGCCCCAGGCTGCTGAAACGCATCTGGCAACTGCAGAGTCTTGATGTGGCGACCATCTGCAGACAGAAACACTTCCACAGCCCAAGTTGGGATCATGGCATCATCTACCGCGTCCTGTCGACGAAGCGCCAACAAAGCCGTGCCAGTGGAATCAACCATCGTCTTTGCATGTTGAGTAATGCTGAATCCCCTTGGGCGCATGGACTTGGCGACAAGCTCGTACACCCTGACGACATTATCGTGGAAAACGAAACAAAGCTGCTTGGCGTCCAATAAGAAATGCATCTGAACCAGCACTGCACTTTCTTTGTAAGTTTCCAGGTGGATGGGGGCACAAAACTGGGAATGCCATGAAAAGTGTTCGTCCCAGGTGTAAACTGCAACAGTTTTGGACTCAGCCGAATAAAGAGCCAGCATTCGCAAGGTCTCATTAAAAGCAACCGCGTTGATGGCCCTCTTGATATGCATCAGCTCTTTGCCTTGCTGCTGCCGTGGATGGCAATAAACCTTGATGCTTCTATCTGCCTGGTAAACTACGGCGAAAAATCGATCCTGTCCAAGGCTTCCAAGTAAGCTCACACAATCGGGGTCGTGTGCTTTGAGTTGCAAGTTCTTGGTCAAGGGCTCAAGCTCCAACTGGAAATGGCTCTCTGATGAAAGCCCTTGCTCAAAGCATTGCTTCTCCACCTTGAACTGTTGGATGCTGCAGTACAGCTTTGGAGCTCCCTCAACTTCGATGGTTGCTCCGATCTCAAAGTTGCCAGAGAAACGTGGCTTCAAACTCCGAAGAAGGCACCGCTTCGGATTCTCAGGAGCGAGATTTAGTACCTCGTTCTGGCAGATGGCCCTCCATTCATCAGAAAGCTCTTTGCACTTCGATTCCTTTTCAGATGCAAGCTCCTGTAACTTTCTGTCCATGCTGCTCTGCGTAGCCTTGGCGAACAGCATCTCTGCAAAGTCCTGCATTCGTTTGTCCAAGTAGCTTAGCAGCTGCTCTCTGCACAAGCCGAGGGTCTCGTAGTACTCTGGCTGTTTAAGCACACCGCTGCCTGCTTTGTCCTTGATCATCTTCTTCACATCCTCTTTGCTGAAGCCCTTGGACAACCCTACGAGGGCGAGACTGCGCTGCACGAATGAAGCTTCACCAGGCACCAGTCTGCTGTACCACTCATTAAAGGAATTCTTTTCGTTCTTCATGGCATCGACACACATCTCTGCCGCAACATCCGCCACGGTCATGTTCTGGGGCAGCCACTTCTGTGAACTAGCAATCATCGCGAAGCTATACATGACTCGCAAATGATGGAAGACAGCTTTTGCCTGCTTGGTCAAGCCGCTCAGGGTTGCGATGCTAGCTCTCTTAGTGGCAGTGTACAGATCCCCCCACGCCTTGGTGGGGGCATCTTCAACTCTCATCCACATTTGGACTTCTCCATCCTCTCGTGTTTCCTTGATCCGCACGGTCAGAACGGGTCCGCTGATGTAGTTGAGTAGGTTCGCATACCAGAAATCCGCTCCCAACCCGGCACCCTTGCGAAGCTCGCCGTGGAGTTGTCTTCCTTCGATCGTGGTTTTGAGGAGCAGCGTACCCGATGCCTGGCTCACAACATTGAAGGAGGAGGTCCTGGCAATGATGGCAGATAGCACTATGACCAGAACAGGGCGGGCATGACTTTAGCATCTTGCTGGTGCCTACTTTGTGCGGGGCTGTTGTACAACCTCGGAATTGAAGCTTTTCGGCACGAACCCTCACTTCCTGCCGCAGCTATTGATCCTCTTGTATGTCCATTGGCCGACGAACTTCGATGTTGGATTGCTGGTAAGCTCGCCGGGGAACTTTTCAGCCAACTCTCTGACTGCGTTCGCGTCCACCAGCTCCTGCCCAGGCTTTAGTTGGAGCTGTGAGAAGCCCCTGACATGTCTTGCCATGCGAAAACTCTCCGGAGCCTGCATGGCATGCGCGAGATCACCGAGAACGGCTTGCCTGAGGCAGAACAAACTGGCTTCCCTACCACATCCGCTTCGACGGTGGAACCAAGTTTATTTGTGCAGTTCCATACCCCGGGAAACGACTGGTCAAGTCCGAACGAGCAATCATCTAAGAGTCAACATGACCCGTTGCCTGCATGTGGGACCTCGGCTGCAAAAAGGCGAAATCGAGATGTGGACCCATGTGTGCATGTTCATCGGTTGCATAGTTGCATTTGCGTACGTATAAGTCTGGGGAGTAAAAAGCCTCTACAACAACGGAAGCAAGCCTAGCGGCACTTTGCGTCTGACGACAAGCAGTCTCGCAGGCAGTCGCGGTGGAAAACGTGCGCTGGCAGGCTGACACTGGATGAATCTAGCCTGAGTTTAGCAACTCACAACCAATGCGAGGCTTGCTCCGATGCGACATGCCGTCACTGCACGACGCTTTGGCATGGTTTATGCTAGGGTGGCACCGACAGCCTTGCCAGCATTCTGGCCAACTTGCTGCCCAGCAGCTGAGCAAGACAAATGCTGCATTCCAGACCGGAGCCTCTCAAGGCAAAGAACTCGAGTGGAAATTCCTCCAAGACCTCTTTATTCATGGTCTCCTTCAACATCCGGAAGAGCTCGGCTCTTTCTGCTCGGGCGGTCTCTTTCACGGCCTGCTCTCGTTCATGGAACTTGATTGCCATCTGTTGCTGCCTTTGCTCGTAATTTTCTCGCACCTTCCGGTACACCTCCGGTGCCACGCACTCCAGGAAATGCTCGCAGTGCTCCAGTTTCAGGCCCGGGGCGAAATGCACCGCGTAGGTCTCCTTTCTGTCACGGAAGAAGTTTGTAATCGTGTCAAAAACGGTAAGCACCTCATCATGCCGTCCCGCGGCTCGCATCCAAAGCATGCCCAAAGTTGACCGACTCTTCCCGCTGAACGTGCGAACAGCTTCGGCTTCAAGACCGTGTGGGAAAGGAGCGGCAAAGCTGGCACCCAATGTGCAGTCGTCGTCACTGGCAGCCTTCATGCTAATCTGGATGTCCATGTTCCTGCCATTTGACGGTGTCCCAGAACAAACAACGTTGAAGCCCAATCAAAGCCCTGCTTAGATGCAGCGGTCGAAGACTACAGTTTATTTCCTTCAAGCACTTTCCAGGTCTACATTACGCGCAACTCCTGGATGTCCCAGTTGTTTGCACCGTCTGCCCACGAGCCTGCACAGCATCCAAGTCCTTCTGACCGACCAGCCAACAAATGTCCGGGGCGAGTTGCAACAGGAACTGTACAAAACTGATGAATGGCCGGCGCAATGCCTGGTCCCATCCGCGCTGACCCGGCCACAAGATCAAGAGCAAGCGCTGCTGATGGTGTAATGCATACAGGCCAACCGATGTAGTCAGTGAGGCTATTGCGTGTGCAGGCACGGCACAACTCTCGAGAAACTCCTTGATGGCCTGTGGCTCCCCGAGCACTCCAAGCACGTGCATCTGCTTCTTGTCAAGTTTTTCGAAGTTCAGCCGAAGTTTGGGAACTGTGCATGCGCTGTTGGGCTCTACCATGTTGCAAAGGTTAATGACTTCTTCTATGTTTGTTACCGGCTTCGCAACATGCATCGCATCTTGAAGATCCGTCTGCAGCACGATGACTTGGACCATCGCACCGTTCGATTCCTGGACAATCGGAGCTTCATCAGCATCCGCCATGATGACATCCCAGCCATCTTCGCCGCCCTCCAGGCTGTTCAAGTGCTCATAGAAATCCTCATTGAGCTTGACATCCCCACACTGCTTGTCTGCTGTGCCCTCTGGAGCTGCATCCACCATCTCCACATCAGGTACTCCCCGCGCTGCGTTTGTCTCCGCAGTCGCTCCACACGAATCAATAGCCGCCTGTGCGCACATTGCGACGGCACTGAAGGTACAAATGCTTGTGCATGCTTCTTAGCTCTGGTTTGCGGCATGCACCGATCAAACGACAATGGATGGTGCCTAAAATGTCACGGTCACAGAGCAACTCATGAGCTTTGACGTAACACAGTGCCTGCTTGACTTTCAGATCATTTGTGGGTATTGTCGGCCTCGCTATCGGTTTTTGGACACTCGCTGCCGGATCAAGCCGCTGTCGCTTGGCATCTGGTCCTTTACCCAGCAGCCCAGCCAACACACGATCGAACCGTCGCTTCTGCAGAGTCTTCATGCCCATGTCTTGCAGATCATCGTGATTGACATCTTGCAAGTCGGTCACACTCTGCACCCCCAGCTGCTCCAAGGGCTCCGCGAACTGTTGGAGTTCCGCATCCTTCAAGAACGCATGCACCGCCGCTTCCATGAGCTGGAGTCTTGGCTACTCTTCTTTGTGCAAGGCCGAAATGGCTATTCAGAGCAGTGCTGGTTGGACACGAGCTTCCACAACGTTTCTTTGGACTGCGCATGTATTTCAGTGAGTAAGGGCCAATGCAACGAATGCTTTGCAAGTGCTGTTTGGATTTCGATGTGTCCGCTCCGCGAATGTACTGGCATCCTGGTCCTTGCGGCACCCCTCACCCATGAAAGGCAAGGATAACACATTGCTTTGAGGAACAAATGGTCAACGCCCACATTATGGACGGGCAGTGTCAGAAGCACCGAGGACTCGTCGCAGGACTTTTCAACTTCTGCCAGGCGCAGCATGTCTTAGCAGAGACCCGGCAGCAGTACCTTTCCAAGGAAAGCTTGCTGATTTTGTAAGGAAGCCTGTTCCCAGAAGAACATCAAGAATGACCTGCTGCCCGTAATCAACTTCTGCCAGTCCGAGCTCCTGCCTAGAGGCAGAGCTTGCAGGCAAGCGGCAGACCGGGAAGCACTGAACGACAGCTTTTGACCTGCAGGCTGCGAAGCTTGGGCCAGGGAGATATGTGTCAGGTTTCAAACTAAACCATATGCTGCTGCGGAAGATTTTTCAGGCTTTTGAAACATTCCCGCCTGAGTCCTCCTTCCAGACCAGCCTGCAATACTCCTGCCACATGTGGCTCAGCTCGGGACGTACACAAGCAAGTCGGACTCCTCTCCTAGGTCCGGGTTGGAAAGCGTGACATCTATCAGTATTAATTATTGCTACTACTATTACTGTACCTAGTGCTAATTACTATTCCTATTGTTGATATTGTTATTCGATTTTACAAGGCTCTATACAAGGCTGATGCTAAAGTCTATGCCTGCACAACAAAGCAGCCCAGTCTCTGGTGCCTCTCTTTCAAAGTTGTCTCCAGAGTCTTGCGTTGTGGCGCGAACTCTGCATGCTGGCTTCTGCACGCTCTTAAAGAAGCGTGGGACTCCTGTATCCATTCCAACCGCTCTGGATGCACGTCTCTGCTGGTCCAAGTCTGACTCGTCTCTTGAAAACTTGTATTGGAGCCCGTCGTTTCCAGCGGCTGCCACTTGTCGGATGAAGACAAAGTGCTCTTCACCCGGCGCCTAGTCTGACTCCCAAGACTCCATAAGCGCTATATACCCCCTCCCGTACCTATCGACCACTACAGTAACTCCCCACCCTGCCTAAACGTTTCGTTTTCTGCCGACCAAACATCGAAGACTCTTAAAAAGTTCGGCCCAGCTTCAGGCTCCCGACATGTTCGTTCCAGTCATAGTCAGAGCCTCGGGAGGGAAGCTCGAGCTCCACCGGTGGTCCTGGCCAGCGGGCCATAGGTAAAAGCAGCATCATCATTAGGTAGGGGCCTACTGTGATTAACTATCACTAGGATAGTTTTAACTCACCAGAACATCGTGTTTTTGTTGGTTGCATTGTTGCTGCTGGGAAGAACGGGCGAGATCGTAATGCACGCGGATTGCGGCATGACCAGCTGTGATTCATGGCCATGTTTACAATGACATATTGCCATTCCGATGGTGACGATCAGCCCTCTTCTGACCCCCGAAGCTTACAGTCTTACAGCAGCTTCAGCCCTTTGCGAACTACACACTTAAACTGAATCTGAAGCTTTAACCCCTTAAAACCCTGAACCCGCGAACTCCTGAACACCGGAAATACTGGGGCCCTAAACACGCAAAAATCCTGAAGCCACCAGCCCAAAATGTCCAAACCTTAAGTGAAAAACAAACTATCCCGAAGTTCTGAAACCCCCAAACCCTGAAGCCCTCAATCTCGAAAGCCTTCAACCGCTGAACAACCGAAATCCTCCAACAATCATGCGGAAGCCCTATAAACCTCGAAACATATATGACATATGAATCGTAACGAAGCATCTTTTGGAACCCTTCGAAGTCCTGTATACCCTAAACTCAAAACCCTGAATTATAGTCTTCTATACCCCAAAACCCTGTTAAAATTATTTAGGCCCCTATATCAGTCCGGTCCTTGCAAGCAGGACTCCAGGATTGCCACGTGCTCGAGGAAGCCCAGAGCCCGATCCTGGCGAGCTTTCTTTGCGGGGCTTTCGGGTCATCTGAGGATCAGAGGGCTTAGGGTTTAGGGAACCCTAAACCCTAAACCCTAAACCCTAGGGTTTGCTCTTTGAGGGGCTTGGGTCTCAGGATTGTAGGCTCGGGCTCTTTCTGGGGTCTTGGGTCGGGTTGAGGGTTGGGGCCTAGGTGTTCGGGTTGGCGGATTTTGGGATCGAGGTTTCGGAATACCATGAGTTTAGGGTTCCAAGCTTCTGGGCTTGCTGCTTCGGGCGGTCTGCAAGAAGACTTCTCACAACAGAAATACCCCACACCCTGAACCAAAAAATGCTCAAAGCTCCACCCAGGATCCAGCTTCATGAGCTTCTGCAACGCCTCCTGTGGATCCTCCAGGTCCTCGCTCTCCTGGTCAACTTCGTGATCAACTCTTAGCTCTGAGGGCGTCTACCTACCTATGTGTCTATCTACCAGTCTATCGAACGAAGATGAATTTATCTGCATGTTTTTAAAAATCATTTTATGTACTACATTCACTGAAACTTGCAGGGTCTTTAGGGCTTAGGTCTTTCGCTCCTGGACCTCTTCGGCATGTGCAACGAAGTGCACCACACGTTCCTTTGCTTCCAGCAGGCCCGAATATGTCTGAACTTTTGGAGGAAGAGGCTTCGGACTGTCGCTTGGATCAAGCGGAAAATCCAGACCCACTGTTGCCAGGAAGGCGGATGCAGCGAAGGACGCCTGGCTAGATTTCTGCTCGACCACCAGCGTCTCTAGCTCCGCCATTACCATCTCCGCTTTCGCTCTTGTGTGCTTCTCCTCTTTCGGGGTGCCCGTGCTCACAGGTCGCGAAGGCGTGGAGTCGTGCGCGAAGGCCTTACAAGTAGCTCACTGCCGAAGCAGCGACATGCAGCAAAGAAGGAGTCATCGTCTGGCTCCCGTCTGAGGCCACTGGACTGGTCTCCAATTCTAGGCCCCGGACGCTCGCCGTAGTAGAAAGTGGGGTCTTCGGTGTCGGCAGCTGGCGAGAGCCGCCTGCGAAAGCCAAGGGCACAAATGGCTTATGCATATATTATATGTTATATATTATATTATATGATATTATATTATATTATATTATATTATATTATATTATATTATATTATATTATATGATATTATATTATATTATATCATATTATATTATATTATATTATATTATATTATATTATATTATATTATGTGTGCCTGGAGCCGCTGACCGCTCTTGCGAAGAAAGGTCCTGACCGCACTCTTGGCTTCGTGGAGGCACAGGGAAAGAACTGGCGGCGGCACCGTCCTTCGGAATCACCGGGCTGGATGCAATGTATGTTTCGTAGGAGTCCCACTGTTTCGCGACCTGGGGCTTGGTCGCGTCCGTGAAATTCGAACCCATTTGTTACACAACTGAGGTTAGGACCAAATCATAATCGCCGCTGGCATTCTCGAAGTCCTCCACCTCCTCAGCGCTCCGCAGGTATCTTAATTAACGCGGCGGAACATGCAGTGCAAACCGGGCCCTGTGCACTCAAAGGGCTTGGAGCTCTTGGTGGGTCTGCCTTGGCACGATAACCTGCCACTGAGGTTTCCTGGCATTTCTCGATTTTAGGGGCGCTCTGGCCGGAAAAATGGTTGTGGGGTGGGCGAGCTGTGGCTTTGCCAGCAGTCGTGGTGAAACTTGCGGCATTTGCTGTGCGTGAGGTTTCGGGGTTCGTGGGAGGCATGGGTTGGATGGCATGAAGCTGGGACTGTTTGGCAGCGGCTGGCGCATCCAGATCTGGCGGCTTCTTTGGCTGCTGCAAGGTCCTTGTAGTAGCTGTGGCATGGTGCAAACGGGATAGTTCTGGATGAGGTGCATTGATGTCATTAGACAACTTTGTAGCACCGCTTCGGCGCGGTGATGATTCCTGGGGCCTGGGGGGATAAGGATCTCCCCGGCCACCACCGCCACCACGTTCCACATGAGGATCTCCTGCAGCACCAACACCAAGGTCAACTCCGCCTCCGAATGTGCCGGAGCCATCCTTGCTCTGGGCGGTCGGCGACAGCTTGGCCAGTGGGTTTCCGAGTCGGAAAGATGACCAAGGAATCTTGGCTTTCATAAAACTCATGCCCGTGCTTTGGGTTCCTCCGCTTGGGGATGCGGTTGGCAGTACAGGTTGGGGATTGCTGGGCAACTCTGCGGTGTTCTTTCGGAAGAACTGGCTGGCCAGTCGCGGTGTGTGGGGGCTGCGTGGTGTGACAGGGCTGCTCAAGTTTTGGTGCGGACCACCCAGGGGTGGTGGGCGAGGTGACAGGAGTCCCGGAGCTGCCCGGCAGCCATGAGGGTGCTGTGGAAGGGGTGGAAGCTCGTACATAGTCGGAGCGGAAATCTTGGCATTGGCCGTAGGCGATCCCCTCCAGTCAGCTCCTGCTCCAGTTTGCCCGGCCCTGGCCTTGTAGCCGGACAATGCCACGCCGTGGAAACCCTGCGGCGTCTGCGCACTGGGTTCCTGACCACCTGATCTGTCGCACAGCCACTGCATATACTGCATCTTGGCGAGGACTGTTTTTCTTTTGTCAGCCAATGCACCACGGTCTAGCTTCTGATCCTGCGACAGGAAATCGAAGGAGGTGATTGCCACCTGAGAATCGCGTCGCTTACGCTCACTGAGGCTATTGCGGCGTTGGTCAACCGCAGCCGAGAAAACGAAGGGTGCAGCGGGGGGTGCCTTGCAGGGGGACGATGTCGCCTTGTCGATGTCGTTCCCGCTGGGGCCGGGGGTATTAGGCGGAGCTTGGACGACGTGCCCCGATCGGTGTGACGTGGGCATCTGCTGACCAAGGGCCAGGACCTCCTCAGCAAGGCTCTGCTTCCACTCGGCGCTTCTCTTCTTGAAGTCCTCTTGGCTGGCTTGCAGCTTCTCAAAAAACTCAGAGGTAGGGGAGCTTGCCCTTTTGGCAACCTTCTCGACCGAAGCAACAGAGTCTTTTCGAGGCCGGAACAGCGCGCGGACGTTCTGTGCCTTGCGAACAGACCGCTGAAAAGCCTCTCTCACCTTGGCTATTCGCAATCTTGCATTGAAGCACGTTCGTCACGGGGTCGTTCAGTACCCACTAACATGTTTCTCAACAGGATCCGAGGGACAAGCCTCTTGCGCGTTTGCTCCTGCCCTGCTCTGGAGAGGCGCTTCGCAATGATCAGTTTCTGACCGGCTTGCCGGAACTTGCTTTTCAAGGTCTTTGCCTGACAAAGATCCCTCAAATCATCCAAGCTGTCGTCGATGTCCTCGAACATCTCATCCGCTTCATCCGCGTCGAGGCCTTTACTTTCAAACAGCCTGCGAACCTGCTCCAGCTTGTTCAGGATGCCTGGGCAAAAACAGGGAGGGCTTCCTGAAAACGCTTTTTGGCCCACAGGGCAGAGCAATCCATAAGACAAGGCGCTCTGTGCAGCATCCATTGCCTCAAGCTGCTCTTTGGGGCTCAGAGAGCTCTTGATCTCGCGAAATTTGGCCGCCAATGCGTTCGCCTCCTTGTAGCGTGCGCCGGTTCTGCCCTCCAAACCATCGATTGCCTCAGACTCATGAAATTGGGAAGGCGATAGAACGTGCTGCATATCCATGTGTCGCCCCCTAGAGATGCCCGACACTCAAGTCAGAGATAACGCCCCAAACTTCCGGATAGCCATGCGACCCCGCTGTGGACTTTAGATTTGAGAGACAGCCTAGTTGGCTTTTCTGTTCTGACAACAGCGGCTGAGCCTCCTGCCACAAGGTGACAAAACTTCTCGTTCAGGAGCTGCTCTTTGTTCAGCTCTTTCGTAACACTGAAATACTTCAGAAGCCCAGCAGTGCTCTCAACTGTGTTTGTCGACCGGATGCCCTTGAGGATCGCGGTAGACGCATGCCTCCATCGTGTGGAGGTCTTATCTGAATCTAGGTCCTCGGAGGAATCCCCACTGCGGGGGAGGCTTCTCGTAGATGGGAGGACCGCCAAGGACTTTCGTGCCTCGCTGTAGACTCTCCGGTTCTTGGCGCTCTTAGTGATAGGAGCCCGGAACAGCCCAGGCTCCTCGGGCAACTGCAGCGTGTCCTCAAACATCCCTTCGACTCAAGCGGCTGGGCACTCGGGGTTCTGCACATAGCATGGCGAGCGCTCATTGCTGTGCAGCTAAGTGCTTTCCTTCATGTTGGCTTGGTGGTCTGTGCACAGTGCTGGGGTTGGTTCCGACTGTCAGCACCTTCGGCAAAGACTTAGGCTCTCTGGACACGGGAGACAACTTAGGTCCTCAGTATTGCTGTCGCAGCCGACTTGCATGATTGAAGATTTGCGGCCATGAGGGAATATGTGAGACACTCCACGCGCAACGAGGGCAGTGCCTGTAGCAACAGCCCACATGAAGCTGCACACAGTATGCACAGACTCGATTTCCGGCTTGCATCGTTTGCTCTCGTTCTGCGCGTCGCTTCTTGACTTCGATGCTTTATCCTGGCAAGAGGCCATGCACCCTGCTGCTGCAGAACATGGTGAACTTCCCGGCTTCCCTTACCACGACATAAGTACTCTGAACTTGTTCTACCGCTGGGTCCTCAGTGCAAGAACATTGCCTTACTCGCCGTCCATGCTATGATGCCGGCCTCGTCTTGCGGCATTTCGCCACCACCTTGCCTTGAAATCGGCGGAGTGCGATCCTGGCTTCTCGAACTGTCGCGCCAAACGGTTCAGGGCAGGGCTGGAGTCGATAAGAGAGGTTCTAAATATGAATACTTCAAGGTTTGCTGTGCTGTAAGTTGGGTTTGTCTCGGCTTTCGGCTGCGAATGCCTATTCAAAGGCCTTCTGTACAAGGTGCAGCCTCCTTGCCAGACTGTAAAGCGCACGCTCGGACGAGGCGACGAGGGATGCATATCGCGAGGGCCTGAGAAGTGAGAGCTCGCTGTGTCTGTCACCCCAAAGTGACGAATCATCTGAGGCGGGTTCCCGAGACGGAGCAGGTCAGTGACTGCAGCCTTGAGCAGGCCTGCGTCATCCTGCCGCTTGGCCCCACGGCTTTGGGTTGACACCCGAGACTTTGATGTGACATCACGCAGACAAGACAGGTCGCAGGTCACGCGCAGGGCTCCTGCAGCCGCAAGTATGCCAAACCTAAAGCTGGTGTGGTCATGGAGCGACGTCACAGCGCAGATTCCAATTTCCACGGCACCGGCATGCATGCGCCATCTCTTCTTCAGGGCCAAGCCGCACCTGCGAGACAAAGTTGAGGAAAGAACTAGGAAGCAAGTGCGGTGTCGCTGCCTTCAGGAGCGGGACGGCCAGCGTGCCAAAGACATCTTGCAAACAAGCCTTGCGCTTGATTTGGGCATACGAGCTTCCGCCAAGGCTGGGCTTCGCAAAGCAGTGCCGCTCAAGCAGACATCAACACCGTCACACGCTGCATGTTGATTAAATTTACGCTGTGTCTGCTTGTAATGGCCGAAAAGCACAGAAAGCCTAAACAATCTGAGGATGACCTTGTGCTTCAGCTAGTTCGACAATGCCTTGTGGATTTTACTTGTCTAACACTGCCTATCCTGACTGCTGGACATGCTTGGGAGCACCTGAAGCGCACAGGTTTCCGACAAACTTCCCAAGCCTTGAACCCGGGTGAGATGCCCTTTGGCCCACCAAGGATAGTCACACAAACCTGGCCAAAGCCAGAGGCATTTCTGGGATTGCGGTGAAGGTAAACTTGGGATGCCGAAAGCGGAAGTCCGAGCGCGAACACAGTTTTGGATGTGGGCGGTGGAGGCTTCTGGGATTCGTCTGGAGGAGGTGTGACATCAGCCGCGATCCCCCTCAGAAGTCGTTCTGAAACCCTCAACCCACGACCTCGGAGCGATCAACCCGTGCTTTTGCGTGCCTCTGGGTCAGAAACATGCCTTGCTGGTGGCGAGAGAGGGGAGGCCTGATCCAAGGCAAAGGCTTCATGTATATAAAGCAGGGTCCGAAACAACAGTTCGCGCACAAAACAAAATAAAAAAATTCGGAGAATCGCTTCGGGCCCGACTAAAAGTACATGTCCGAGCTCACTAGAAGGTTCCCATGCTAGCACGAAGCCGTTCGCGTGTTATGCTGCGGGGTTGTGGAGCTAAGGCTTCCGCGCAGTAGGGTTTTAGGGTGGCCCCGTCGATGTCCAGCAGCATTCCGACGACCTGAGCATGGGTCTTGATCGGTTGGGAGTCAAGCGAGAGTCAATGTTTGGCCTGTCAGTCGGTCTGCCCTTGGTGACCCTGCTGATGGCCTGCTCTCACCGTTGGTGTCTCTGCTCCAGCGCATCTGCAACCTTAGCGGCGATGCTGTTGGCAGCACAGCTTCAAATAAGGAGGCATAGGTCTTGCCGCCGGATAGCTTCTTCAGGAAGTGGTGTGCGCCTCAAGCGATGCCGGCAGGTCCCTACAATCACAAAGATGAAGCACGCAAGGCCCGCAAGGCAGTGAAAACTCTGGCGAACATGGTGCCAGGCTTTCTGCTGTTGGCTGCCTGCCCGGTGAAGGGCAACAGGTCATGCGATTCGCCATTCAGCAAGCATGGACAATAAAACTCGTAACCCTGACCGTGACCATCAGCGCTGCCAGAAGGACAGCCGCCATCGTCATCCTTCGAAATATTGCCGCCTTGATATCCTCGGCAACATTACGTGGCAGCCTAGCATGTATCACCGCTATAGGGGCCTTAATAACTCGAATAGGGTTTTGGGGTACTATAGCTAGAACAAGGAACCCTAAGGCCCTAAGAATAGTATAACCAGTGATTCAGGCCCCTACATGGGAGTTTCCGAAAATAGGGGACCCTAATATAGTACCCTAAATAGTAGGATCCTTATGTTAAGGACCCCCCAAATAAGGCACCCCCTATTTTCGGAAACTCCCACATTAGCGTCTCACAGGGTTGGCCTCGGCCACTCGAACCAAGACTCCTCGAGCTCACGCTGCAGAAGCTCCTGCGAGCTCGCGTGCTCCGATTCCCAGCCGGAGGCTACTTGCCGGTAGCACTCGCTAGCTATAATATAGGGGCCTTGATATGAGAATAGGGCTTTGGGGCCCAATGGTACTATAATTATAAGGACCCCCCCCAAAAAATAGTATAGGAAATGATTAAAGCCCCTATACTAATTTAGAGGCCTTCCTAGCTTCTTCATCTTGGTATTTGGCTGTACTGGGTAGATGGAAAATTCTGTTTTGGCTGGGGCTTTCTATTTCCAGCAACCATACTCTACAGGACTCTGAACTCTTGCAACCTCGCACCCGATCCTCGGCAATCTTGGGCTTCCACACATCGATTCCCGGCGTGGGCTGCTCAGCCTTCCGGATGGACAAAACTCAGGGCGCTGTCGGCGAATATACTTGAGGCTTGGCTTGGGGCCTCAACCCCTAAACTATGGGCTTGCCTTAGGTTTTGGGGGTCAATCCCTTGAACCTCGCCTCTGCGTCGGCTGTCCAGCTCTCTATGGCCTGGGCGGCAGCAAATTTGGGCTGTGAGCGTCGTCCCGCTCCACGGCCTCTTGTTCTGCATCATACTACTACTACTACTACTACTACTACTACTACTACTACTACTACTACGCTACTGCTATTACTGCTACTGCTGCTACGACAACTACTGCTCCTGCTTACCACTCCTGCTGCTACTACTACTACTACTACTACTACTACTACTACTGCCACTGCTATTTCTGCTTCTATTGCTGCTGCTTCTGCTGCTTCCCTTGCTGATTCTACTTCTGGTGCTATTCTTGTGCTTTCCGTGGCGACGCTGGTGGTGGTAGTGGTGGCGGTGATAATCATAAATTCGAACAGCTTGAGCTCTTTTACTTGCCATCCTGTATCATCAGACGGGCCTGAACCTGAAGTCCAGAAGTCTTGAATCCCTAAACCCTAAACCCTAATCCCCACAAAGATCGCATCTGCAAAGAGGCGCCTCTTCCACGCCTCGGCAGGCCCGACGGCCTGAAAAAGGCCGGGAAGGAACAGCCGTGCCCCTAAACGGTGTCATTTTTTTGACGGTTCTGGTCCTCCCTGTTCCAGTCAGGACGGCTTAGGGCTTACATTGGCCCTAATGCCCTAATACCTTATTAAACCCTAAAGCCCTGTAGAGCCAGTCTTAGCAGATTGGTCAGATGCCAATCAACCTCCACGACTCTTTTCGCTTGGCTTCGTTGTCGTGACGTGGAGACCACTCGACTTTTGCGTGTTGGGTCGTGTGCAGCGTCCGTTGCAGCCTTCAAAACCTCGCGACCAAGAAGGTTGATGAGTGGGAAGGTATCTGGGGTTTTCCGAAAATAGGGCACCCTAATATAGTACCCTAAAAAATAGGATCCCTATTATAAGGACCCCAAAATAAGGTATCTTAATTTTCTGAAACTCCCATCTGAGTCTGTTGTCTTTCCCTCTACATGAGCAAACTAGCACGTACACAAAGAAGAAACCACAAGTTGCCCGAAGATTCGTCCTGCATAAAGCATTGCCTGCGAGTGACTTTAAATGCAATGCCATAGCAATACTAAATATTCCTGTGACTGAGCACTTTCATCTGTATGTAAATATGTATGTATGTATGTATGTATGTATGTATGTATGTATGTATGTATGTTGCCTGCATGTATGTACACAAGCACGTCTTACATGCATGCATGCGACCGTATTCACCTCAGGCCCTGCATCGGATGTCTCTCAGCGGACAGGGTCCTCCTTAACCTTCAACTCCATAAGATGTGTCGGCATGCGAAGAGGTGCATGCACAAACCGCATACAGGAAGAACGCAGATCGTTCGCGTCATGACATCTATCCCTACACTGTCGAGATACATTCTGATGAAAGTTGCAATGACTTGTCCCGCCTTCGCCAGCCGCGACAATGTTTGGCCAAAGGAACTGGCAGGTCCTTGTAAGGACCGTCAAGAAACACTTTCGGTGCAGCGTTCAGGGCAATAACAGTGTGGAGTTCAGGAGACGGATCGAGGGGTTGTGGGCTTCAGCAGTTTATCCCCCGTACAAGTACCAACCACAGCGAAGGCAGCTGGAGCTCAAGTTTTTCAGTTCAACCTCAGACAATCATAAATGCGCCGTCAAGCGCGCACCAGACAAAGGCCCCAGCTGTTGCTCGCTCGGTGCCCTCTTCGTCAGAAACCTGAGGCAGTGTGTGTTAACTGCTCTTGGCCGAATTTTCGATTGTGCGTCTCAGGGATTTCCGGGCCTCGCTTCGGGGGATGCAAGCCAGGAGCATGGGTTGAGGGGCGCGGGTGACGGGATAAACCTGACCTTCGTGGCACCACCCCCGACCCAACACCATGCCCTCTGAACTCCAGAATCTGAACTGTGTCGAAACAGCCAGGCTTCCTGCAAACGGAACCCCTCCCAAGCTGAATTGTAAAATTACGTGAACATGCTTCAACAATAGTACTGTAACAAGAACAAGAACGAACACAAGCAGGATAAGCCGTCGACTAAAACAAGGAACGACAGACATATAGCCATGACACGAATACCCAACCACCACCGCAACCACCACCGAGAAGAAGAAGAATAATAAGAATAATAATAATAACACTAATGAGTCTAATGACAATACCAACAAGAACAACTACCACAACCAACCATACGCACAACAACCACCACTACAACAGCTGCTTCCGACTCTGCCACCACCTCGTGCATGCAGAACAAGTGCAGCGAGACCAGTGTTGCATGAGAACGGCAAAGCACCACTCGCTATGACAGGAGGACTGACGGTGACAGTGGTGATTTCAATGCTAAAGATGTAAAGGTGGTTCACAAAATGTGGACACCCTGATGGCGTGATCTTTGGGAAGGAATACAGTAAAAGCAAGAACATGAAGGATCGGAATGCTCGAAATACATCTTTATCGATACTGGCAGTGGCAACCATTTTTCCATGGAGACCAGAACTTGCCAGCTTTAGCAAGCTGCAGCAGCATTAACAAAAACCCTCGTGCTGGCCCTAAAGACGGAGGAGCCTCATCCAAGTCGACAAGTCATCACCTGCCCAGTTCTGCTGCGTTGGGCTTCAGCTCATTTTTCTCGGTGACTTTTGATTCTTGGAAACTTCGCTTTTGGATTCAGGGAGAGCCTGGTTTGGGGGACCGTGAAACTAAACCTGTGCATTCAAGCTTGTCGCCGTCGTCGGCTTAACGGCAGCAGGAGCAGGGATTGAAACTCTAACTGCCCATGCTGCTGCTGCTGCTGCTGCTCCCACGCTGCTTATGCCACTACTGTCACCACCACGACGATGACTACTAACATTCTGGTTCTTCTTATTAGTATCACCAGTATTATTCTCAATATTTATAGTGTTTCTGCAGTTACTACTCTTACTATCTCTGCCAGTTGCCTGCTGATGCTGCCGCTGCTGCAACAGCGGCCGCTACACTCGACTCCTTTTCGCACTCACGCTTAAATTGAAACCCGAGGTGCTAAAGGTGAGACAAAGCCTGCAGCTGACAGACGGCCGCATCTGTTTGTCTTGCTCTGTAACTACATGCCTGGCGGATGTTTGCAGTAAGACGATTTCGTGCCGCTGTCATGGGATCGCAGTCGGTGTACGACCGGAGGAGCACGTATGGACAAGTTCAGAAACGAAGTCACTCGTTGGCAAGCTCACACCATTCTCCCTGAATTCAACATCGTGCACAATCTTCTCCGGGGATGTTTTGGTCCCCAAAACCGTCGGACCGGAAGTCCGAGATGCTGACGAAACTTTGTCCGACTATGTGGCTTGAGACAGGGCATGGCTGCCCCATGCCAAAGACGAGGACCGACAGACTCAGGTCGGGAACTGGATGTCTTCGCCGCAGGAGTCAGGGAGGGAGGGAAATAGTCATAGGAATCTGTTTCGACCTCCGCCTGAACCTCCTCCAATACGCATTGTGCGCCTGGCTGCACATCTGGCCACAAGGGTCCCTGATTCTTCGAGCGTTTTAGCACCGACGGTCCATGTCGAACTGCCAACCGAACGTGAAAGTAACGATTCCCTTTGTGCATCCCAATGAAGATGAAACTGTCTCGGGTCTCTTCTCCCCGTCTCTTTCTGTCTGCTAGTATGGCCAAACTACAGGGTAACATGGCCTAGATAGACTCCAACCACATATCGAGCACAGGAGATGGATATCTACATGTAGAAGGTATCGTCAGAACGACTAAGTTCATGTACATACATATACATGCATATGTATATATATATATATACATACATCTATGTACATTCATATATATATATACATATGTGTGTGTGTATAAACTTTACAACCACACATGTGTACATATGTATGTATAGAAACATACATACATACATACATACATACATACGTACATACATACATACATACATACATACATACATACATATATATACATATATATATATATACGTACATGTACAGAAATAGGTACGCGTGTGACATGTTCATGCACCACAGTATGCACAGAGATGTATGTCTAAATGTTCATGTATGATTATATACTGTATGATGATGCGCATATATATATATATACACATGTATGTGATATGCTTGCAGAACTGTTCTTTTGCACATAGGTTCATCTAGTACGATCGTGTACCATTACATTATACCCATGCTACCATCTGCGTATGCATCTGCGTATCTACAAAAGATAGCAATATCTGTACCGGTGTACATACGCCAAGCAACAGCCACACAATTAGCAGCCAATGCATGATTCAGTAGATCAATGCAGAGTTGGCAAACAAGCCGTCGAGCAGCTAGGGATGCCGATCTTCGAACTTACGCTGCATACCTATCTACCCATCTATCTGTCTATCTATCTGCCATCTACCTGTCTATGCAACTAACAAACTTATCTATGTAAGAGTCTGTCCAGCTATATACCTAGATGTACATGTGCAGTATGCATGCATATCAGGGACACTGATTTTGGGCAACTTTCAAGTGGATCCCAGATCCACAGAAGCAAGCGATCGCTGCAAGGTGCCTCATACAGGAGCGAATCCTTTTAGATGTGCTGTCACGAGGACCGATTCCACAACTACTTCTGACAAGACCTGTGGTACAGGAGCCGACAACGCCTAAGCTCCAGAACCCTCACGCCGAAAACCGTACACGCGCGTGAACAGCTGAATCATGCTCGACAAGGGCACCTCATAAGTTGCAGCCCTACTGTTTAGGGCCGGCTTGACCAAGCAGCAAGCGGGGGTCTCAGAAAATAGGGCTGCGGTGTTTAGGGGCCCTGAGGATAACGATCAAAAATTTTTCTGAAACTCCCAAGTTCGTCCAGAGAGGGTGCTCCGCCCCTTTGGCCACCCAAATACAACCTAAACTAAATTCCTACAGATTCCAAGCTTAAACACCCTAAACTCCCTAGGGTCTACTACATTGGGACCTGAAGAAACACCCTAAACTCCTTAGGGTCCACAGCATTGGGACCTGAAGAACACTCAACTGTTGAAACCCTTCGGCCCTTTGCAAAAAGGGCTCAGAAAGGCGACCAGGACAAGGATCTCAGGCTGATGAAAGAGCTCACCTCGAGAGGTCGTGGGTGCAGATGGTGTGAGGGTTACGATGAGGGTTATGCAAAGGTTGCAGGTGCTGCAAGTACCATGAAGGTGACATTTCGCGGGCTTTGCAGCTTCGGGCTTTAGTTGGGAGTTTTAGGGATCCGGGTGGGCGGACAAGATACTGCTGCGGAAAGATATGGCTCCTTCCGTCCACGCTACTCTCGCTTAAAGATGATGGTGGCTCTCGGCATGCCCTGTGTAACTCCTGTGCGAGTGTACCAGTGTCGTGAGTCGTGAATGTATGATCTGTTTAACTGTTCGGATTTTAGCTTAGACGAAAGGCTCAAACAAACTCCCTCTCTGTGCACGCCGACCTCTTCCACTTCATCCCGGTAGTCAGGTCGCTCCGTCTCATCCCAATTGTCCTTGGTTTGGAGCTTCCAAACACTTGAAGATTGAACCACACACACACATTCCGTCAAAGATGTCTTCAACCGGATCTCCGATGCAAGTTTTCCATGCTAAGACTGTCAATGTCTGTGTTTCAACCTTGCTATCACCAAGACAAGCTTCCGTCCAACCTGGCAAAAGCTGAGACGAGATCTCTGCGAGAGTTGGCACCGATTCCTGACCATTCCGGGCATCGCAGTGTCGCTGTAGGTCCTTTGTCCAACGCACGGCCTTCCCTGATACAGTGGAAGAGAGGTAGTTGGTGGCCCAAGAAGGGATAAGGCCACCCATGTCGATCTGGCTGCAGCTAGTCAGTTCCGTGCCGATGAATGAGGGGCTGTTTGCAATGTGAAGGGAATGCTCACTCTCCGTCTCGGTCTCACTCTCCTGAGGCGAAGGTCTCAGCAGAGCTCCAGCCTTGTGTACGAATGCCCGAACACGGTCTGGATCTTTGGGCACCGCTGCGTCCTCCATCGATCGGGAAACGAGGGCGCAGCCGGTTCCATGGGGAGAATTCAGTGGCAGCCTCCATTGGCGCTTCAGGATCTCACGATCCCAGAAGGGCCGAGGACATGTGATGATGCTTTGGTAGATCTCTTCCATCATCTCATCCTGAGGCTGGGCGTTCTGCAGAAGCGTGTTCTCACCACCGGCATCCCACTGTGCCCGCTCCTGGCACAAAGAGGCCGTCACGTCCTCAACAGAGGCACCCTTCAACCGAGTCCACAAGCAAGCGATGATCACTGGAGACTCCGCATCGTGGCAGATACAAAATCTCATATCCGGCTCATCAACCAAAACCTTGATAGACATCGTGTCATCATCTGAGCCCTTGGTACCGGGATCCGTTAAGTCCGCGTTCGAAAGGCTCTTATCTCCTGATGCAAAAGCAGCAGAGGAGAGTGGGCAACACATTCGCTCAATCCGCAGTAGGGATCTCAGAAGCTCTGCCGGTGAGCTTCCTTCCTCCGGTAAGCTGGGTTTGAGCTCCGGCTCTGCAGGAGGGGACCACAAGTACCCGCCCATGGCTCGCAAAACCAGAGACAGAAGAGATTCACTAAACTTGACCTTTTCTGCACCCTGACACAATGAAAGGTCCGATGTTGCCTCATTTAGCTTCCTAGCCGAGGACCGATGGAGGCTCGGACGTGCGTCTCTTGGTGTGTATCTGTGTCCGATAGCTTCCAATCTTGCGAACACATTCTGGCGTGGCATGAAGCAGGCAGCACGTGTGGTTAACACAGCTTGCCCTTGTTAGGCAGTACTGTGTGCACTTTCCAGGATGGGAATACACTATACTATAGTACTATTACTATACTATTATATAATATTACTGTAGTATTACCATAGTATTACTATAATATACTGTGAAGGCAACACTGCCATGGCCTTCGACTGAAATGACGGCATCGGCCTCACAGCAGGACAGGAAACCCAGGCCCTCTCTTGTCTTCTGTTGAGGCACCGCGACAAGCCGACTCTCAAATCATCCTCTATCCCCGAAGCCCTAGAGAAGAGTTATTTTTTTTTGTGGGCCCTTTTCCGTCTGAGAAGCGGTTTAGGGTTTAGAGTTATAGAGAAGAGTTCCACAGCCGCAAAACCCTGAAACCTCTACGCGACCGAAAATCCTTCTCGAGCTCCGGGCCCAAAAAAGGCGAACGGCTGCATCCGCTGGCCTCGGAGGACGGGTCGCTTCTCACCGCCAACCTGAGGATCCTAGTGAATAGACGACTTATTATACACAAGTCCTTCGGGAGCAAATGGGAAGTGTATGCAACTGCTCATGAATCAGTCCGGGGGAGGCTCTTGAGGCGACAATATCCCCGTGCAGTCCCTGTGCGTAACTGTACTATAAGCTCCAAACCCTATCAAAAGTAAGTCTCTCCTGAATGAGTTCAATCCACTATGTCTCCTAGACGAATGTCTTCTTGAGGCCTGACTCAAGCAGGAAGCCTTCGCTTTCGGGGACACCTGCCGCAGCTGATCTACTACAACCGCAAGTGCTACACAATTATAGGTACAGTAGTACTGCCTTTTTTTACTATCGTGAATTTTTCCTGATTAGCGTAGTTCCTGGGTTGTTCTTGTGTGTGCCGTGATGTGATCCTCTTCAGGTCCACCACTTCCGGGGAGCTCACGAAACGGCCAAGCACTTGGCCATCTCGTCCAAACGGCCGCGAAATGTTGCCTTGGCACTGGTCGGTGTGATTTTTACGAGCTATCAACTAAGACTACGATAGGATTGTAAAGGATACTACGGTACTATGCGATACGATGATACGACACTAAATAAATAAATGTGTATATATATATATACACGCACATATATACATCAATAAACAAACAAACAAATAAATAAATACACATATAAATAAGTAAATAAATAGGTGTATATATGTATATAGATACATATGTATATCTGCGTGTGTTTATATATATATATAAATAAATAATTATAGCACAACATGAAATGCCAATGCCGGGCCTCCAAAGCCACTTGGGGACCATCCGACCTCAGTTCTTTCCGTGGGCTTAGAGAGGATGCGAAGAAGGGCACCGCAAGAACTGCGCCGGGTTCGCAGCGCGTAGAGGCAGTAAGCTGTGTTCATCACCCAGATCTCCTGCCAGGTTTGTTGCCTCTCAGTACACCTTCGGGCAACCCCCCACGACCCCGAGCCTGATGCGTGAACTGCTTTCGCCATGTCATGGGCAGGAGCCGAAGCTGCTCACAGGGGCTGCAGGCTTCCATATTGCCACCGTTATTGCCAGCCTTTAGTTCCAGCGCTTCAATTAGCCATGACGACTTGGAACGCGCATCGCTCCGTGCGTAGTTGAGCACCCATGGGGTGCGCATTCAGCTTTAAACCCAATGGCGGAGTGTCGTGCATCCAAACCGAGCAGCTGCATAATACCAAGCCTCACCACCTGCAAAACTCTTCACGCTAAAGACAGGCTGTCGGAATCTAGTGATCTAGTGCCGAACATCAAGATTCGAGTCTCCTCGATACACTCGTAGACAAAGAGACCTCACACTTCCCCGCTTCTTTGTGAAGGCACACCAGAATGAACCTTTAGTTCTAGGACGTCCCCTGGAGGCTGCATCCATGCGGGCATTTTTTGACTTCCTGAGCGGCGCAGAGCCGGACCTCGCCACCTTAGCAACTCAACACCACTTGTCGCGCTCTGGAGCCGGCTCGCCACAACTGGAATCTCCTCTGACAACCGGAGCGCCGAGCTCCAACCCTTGCCAGTAAAGTCTTAATTTTATCAAGGAAAACATGCAAACCAAAAAGTCCCAGTTCCGGGCACCCCACGGAGCAGGAGCTTGGGGACCACCACCGTGGGCCGCGCGAGGTGCGGGCACAGGTGAGGAAAGAGCAGCAACCGGCCTCTGCGAGGCTCGACGGCAACAAGAACGGCCTCGGCATTGTCCTGACAAGAATCTTTGGATCTTTTCTTACTGGGACAACTTTGGTGAGTCAAGTCTCCATGTTCGTCCTCCATGTGATGGAGGAGAACCGTCTCGCCGCCACCACCAGAGCAGTCGCTTAAGTAGAGGATAAAGGTGTGAGTGGATCGTCTTCCCTTCTCGTCAGTTCGCACAAGATCGAGGTGTGGCGGCAGACCACCTCCCACATCTGCATAGTGCAGGAAGCGCATATGAGGCATGGTAACCTCCAGCTCAAGATCCACCAGCGCTCGGTGCTTTTCTTGGGCGGCAAGGAAAGCACTCTTAAACGCTTCCTGTATCCATCCTTCCGAGTCGCCTGGGGAAGCAGCAGACATGCGCATGAATGCCATGTCTTGAAGATAACCTTTCGCTCACATCATCGTCTGCCAGCAAGCGGCAGTAGTAGCTACGATCGGAGGAGCAGCTTTTCGTTCGGGCCGCCACAGGCAAGCCTCGGCTGGTGCTTAACTGGCGAGTCTCTTTGTTACAGACACCTGTAACTCCAACATCTACGCTGCACGATCTAGCACAATCACCCACAAACCCCAAACCCTAACCTTACGATTAAAGTCTCGAAGCTTTCGAAAAGGTGGTCCACCTGACACAGGAAGTCCTCAGCCAAGGCATCGTCCAGGATGCAACTTCCGGCCCCGGCTGCGTCCTCGCAAGGGTTCAGGGTTTTAGGGTTTAGGGTTCGGGGTTTTGGGGTTTAGGATAACCATGAATTCGGGTGTTGCGTCCCGGGTCGGGTGTCTACTAAGATAACCGAGAACATCATCGATATCATTTCGGTCGGGCATGCCTGATTCATATACCCAACAACACACTAAAACACACAACAACCGATTTGAACAGTGAACGTAGCAAACACCCTTCCCTCGGTGTCCGAGTCGAGTGGGATCAGCCAGTGGAAGGACGGGTCCGGCTCTGAGCCAACAAAAGCAGAGCGCTGCACCGGAACCGTCCTTGCGCCGGCCTGCGTGGGGTTCAAGGAATCTTCGAAAGCCTAAACCCTAAACCCCTGAACCCTAAACCGGGCTATGAATGCTCGGACCTCCACCAGGGCACGTGCAGCACCTGCTCGGGACCATCGTCAAGCGCCCCATAGACCCGCAGAATAGAAAGAACCATGCGTGGCCTTCGTGTCCAATAGCAGCAGCACAGGCCCAGGCAGAAGAACCTCCGTTCGCCGGACGGTCCTTGCGCAAAAATACCAAACGATCAAATGTCCTAGGTCAACCGGAATCACACGCAGCGATCATCGAGCCAAGCTGTGGCATCTGCAATGTCTGCTCCGGCCCAGGCCAGCAACGAGACTGCCTGTCCGGTGAGCTTAGTGACAGTGAACACTTGTATAGATGCTTCATTCTAGACCCGCGGGTGTCTTTGTGCTCGTTGGAAGACTTTCTGCCACATATGTTCGGGCGATGAGCACGTGGAAGCATTATCCAGCATGCCGTGCGGTCAACTCAATCGATCAGCGAATGGCCAACCCGACAAATCCCTCGCCTCAGCCGCGTCGTGATATGCTGCCAGGAAGACGGGCGACTGGCCATACCTCAACATGCTACGAACTCGTTCACGTGCCGCTCTGGCCACAAGCACAGGGTCCGGTGCACATCTGAGGAGAGAGCTCGTTCACAGCGTCTACGTCTACTCCGGCCTTGGAGCAGTGCTCCTGAATATAACATTACTGTGATAGTGGCCGTCGCATGCACCGGCAAGGACTCCAAACTCCGACTGTGCCCCGGGCCTCAAAGAGAGCGAGCAAACGAAACCTGTCCCCTGCTGCAGCTGCCTGCATCCAGCAACTCAGGAGCTGTCTATTCTGAGACCAAGCGATGGACTGCACTCGGGGGTATAGCCAAAACCCTAAACCCTAAACTGTTATGTTCTCCGTGCTTTCACCCCCGTAGCTCCAGGCATCGGGAGCTAAGGCCTTGTGCAGTTCTGCGGTGCGCTCCTCGACTTGCAGAGCAAATGACTCTCAGCCCTGGGTGCTATTAGGTGGTCAGAGGCATTTGTAGAGTAGAAAACGGCATAAAGAGGGCCTACAATATCCATAATCTCTCATGAACTTTGTTACCACATGCTATCGTGGACCTCCAGCACACCCGGGAAAACAGGGACCTAAGCTAATCATTAGAACAGGGTTTCGGGTACATATGAATACGTTATTATGGTTCAGCAACGTTACGGACCACTACTACAGGCTTTCATCAGTCTCCGGCTCCTGCTGCGTAGCACCTAGGTGCGCTGAGGCCGCCTCGCGTGGATGCTGCGCTTGGAACCTGCGCTCGTGAGAGCGCTGGGATCTTGCGGTCTTGTGAGAGAAGTTTCGATTCGAGGTACAACCACCGGCGAAAGCAACCCGAAAAAAGCCCAAAGCTTTGTTGTCCAAACCTCCCAAAACCTCAGCCTTTGGACCAGGCAAACCTCCCCAACCCTTGCCAGACTCTTGGTGCTCAAAGTCAAATCCCCAGAGACTCCAATATCCCTTAATTAAGGAATATACCTTAAATCATATTAGGGATCCTACTATAATTTAGGGTATATTCCCTAATTAAGGGATAATGGAGTCTCTGACACATCCGAACTTCTCCGGCCCGCGTGGCCTCGGAGCTTTCGAGACCTTGGGGGCCGCCTCCGGGGCCTTCCACAGAACAGTTCTCCGAACTGTGGGTGCTGTAGGGGCCTCAAACAATAGGGTTCCTTAAAGGGTTACTATAAGGGCTACTATAAGGGTTTAGGGTTTAGCCTTAAAAATTAGAATAGGGTGTTGGGGCACAGTATACTTTAATTATAATAAGGAACCCCCAAGATAGTATAGGTAATGATTTAGGCCCCCCATTTTCGCGAGTTCAAAGACTCAAGACTTGATTTGGGCTACACTGCGTTTCGAGGGCTTTGGCGCCATAGGATGATGCCCTCACGGCCCAATCCTCACCTATCATCTCTACCCGACTCTACCGGGGCCTCAACCTCTGGGAGTGTCAGGAACTGCTCCAGCATGGCCTTCACCGGGCACATGACGCATCAGTACTGTTTGACCTCCCCGTCTTTCTTCTGCGGTGCATGTGATGATCCGTCGGAGACCACCTTCCGAGACTCTCAGGCCGGATTTTCTTCGGTTCTGCTCTTTGCCGTTTTGGCCTCTCTTCTGCGTGCAACGTCCTGTGTGTTTTGCAGCGGTGCCACTCCAAACTGTTGAGCGACGCTGCGGGGAAAGGAAGTGTTCACGGGATTGCAGATCGAATGAACAACTGGGTGAAGGCGGAGAGGTGTTGGGAAACCAGACGGATTAGTATGCCCACATGACCTACACGCCTAAGATATTTAATATGCAATCAATGCACACGTACACAACCCGTAAACAACCGACCAAACGACATCCATGGTCACACAAACAACAATCGAAGAGGGCCGTTCTCAAGCGCTTTGCAACATGCAGCTCGACACCAAACAACCCGTTTGATTCTTGCCTGCATTGCTTTTGTATGGGTTGCATATGAGTTGGTGAACCATCATCAGAGACAGGTGCATGTAGTAGAATTTGTCTGTCATACTGAAAACGAAGCATGAGCTTCTTCCAGCTTTTCACGCCTTGGCCACCGAATTTGTGTGTATGTGCTTCCTTCGAACACAAGCAAGCCAGCATGCTGCAACCCGCCCCGAGCAATCCTGCGGCACGGCCTCCGACAAATAAGCCGAGCAATGTCAGCGAACAAACATTTAAACAACACGACCAACAGCAAACTAACTAAACAAACCAATACGAGCACGTGCACACTTGTGATGCGGTTCCGGCCTCACGTCTTGTGGAGGGGGGCCAGGCTTCCCAACGCTTCATTAACGTCTGTTCCTGGACAGGCATGATGCACGGACATATCTTGTCTCAGTGGACGGCTACGATGCCGGTGGCGGAGACGGTTTCGCTCCGGTCAATGATGTAGATGATTGTGCTAAAGCTGCCCGATCATGCAGATGCCGCGCAGTTTCATCATGGTGGTAATTGGATATTATAATATTTAGCGGGTGAAGATGACGACGATGACGGTCATGACATGTCATACTGGCGGCGCACAACTTGCAAACCATGACAGTGAAAGTATTTTTGGCTTATATGGCAATACGGCAAGACCGACGGCAGTGACTAGGTCGCGGTCCTTTGTTATCTTGGTGAATGCGACAGGTATTAAAATTACGAAACGTGACGCTTGCGCAACTGGTGATATGGCTTGACCGATGCCAGTTCTAAACGTTTAAGCGGTTGCGAAAGCCTTGGGCGAGCCAGCCTCGTCCACGGCGCAGGATGAGCGCTCATCCGCTGCCGGAACATCCTTCGTCGCGACTAGGCGAGTCAAGGAAGAAACTTGTGGCTCTCTGCCATCTCACTGGTGTTTGAGTGGAATAGGCACCGAACCAGTCATGATTACTGAAAGGCCAACGTGCTTGAGAACCGATACACAGTTCCACATGCTACACCCTGAAGCCTTGAACCTTAAACCCTCTATGCAGTCCTCAACCCTGATGGCTCAAAGCGCTGAAGCTTCCATCGCTTACTGTCAGCTTCAGAGCTTGGCCAATGGCTCCAATTTCCAGAGCGCCATTCCTGAGTGCCCAAAGATGTGGGCTCCTTCTTTATGCTTATAGCACTCAACATGCTGTTGTCGTTGTTGCTGCTGCTGCGGATGTCGTCATACAAGAGAGATCTGCAGTCGTTATCATCATCACCATCATCCCTGACAGGTAATACGCCCGCCACACGCAGAGCACGCTCGCGCCGCGCTATGCATTGATCGCGGCCGGCTCTGTCGTATTTCACGGACTCGTATAATCATAGTACAGCTGTGGAACTTCGTGCGAGATGTGACATAATTATTAGAGCCTGTGCTGCTGCTTGTACTTGCTTGCTTGTGCAATCATCCACTTAAGATCAGACCGCGCTGGAGAAGTCTCGACAACAGTGATGTTCAATGAGGCTTCTCAGTGCGGAGCCGAAGCGAATCGCAGTTTCGGCATGTCTGGCGTCTTGCAAAGTTAGAATAACCTCGGCGCTGATGACAGCAGCGCATTCATACCCTGTGCCGGGGCAACTCCGCAATGCGTGGAGCAAATGTTTCTCTGGGGGCCCAGGCCACAATGGGAACAGCTCCAGTCCTTGCCGTCTCATATGCTGCCATGATGACAAGTATATACATGCCACTACTCCTGCCGCAATGCACGTATATGGCACTAGTAACAAGCTTGCGCAGGTCTGTTGACATCTACGGGTAAGCATCATGATGCAGGTGATGATGATTTTGATGGCCCGATCTTGGCCAGGGCTTGCAGCACCACCATCATCATCGTCGCCATCATCACCATGGCACTCGTCATCGATAACAACATCTTCTGGACTCTGTTAGTTTCGGCTACCCCGAACTACGGATCGAATGATGAGGTGGGAATGACCTCGAGCGAAGCATGACACTCCTTCGACAAGAAGAGACAGTTTTCAAGCACTCCTGCCTCCTTCTTCTCCGGTGTGCTCGTGCTTGGATTATAGCCACTCTTCGCCTCCGAAGCTGCGAGAAACGGCGGCACGTCTCTCAGCCCAGCCGACGGCGGAGGTATCCCCGCCTCCAACACCAGGGCCGGCACCTGATGCAAGGAACACTGACAGCACTCACTTGCTCAGACATCGACTTCAGGATCACAATTTAGGCATGCGCCACTGCCACCGCCCTTGCGTTTCCTACTCAGGAGCACGACGACTCTGAGACCGGTACGCTGCAGCCCACAGCTGGGCAAGAAAGCTCGGCAGCCTTTGCGGGTGAACTCGGGGACTTCGCTGATCTTCCCTGTAGCATGCCTACTTTCGCCAAGGAAACAGCCAAACTGCTAGCTAGTCGAAACCATCCCTTCAGGCCACCAAACCAGAAGTGGCAGGGGATTCAACAATAAATCTGTCGCCAGCGCAAGAACACACCGCAATGCCTTCAACCCTAAAGCCCCTAAAGCTCCCTGAATAGCTACCAAAAAACCCTAAAGCCCGTGAATAGCTACCCTACAGAGCCCGAAAGCTCCCTGAAGAACTCACCAAAAAACCCTAAAGCTCCCTGAAGAATTCACCAAATGCATTCGGGCTGCCGCAGAGGCGCCTTGGCAGCTGGCAATGCGCGCTGCTCGCCGCCAGAGGCAGGCTTCGCAGCCTGGGCGTCCAAGATAGGGGCCTTAATAATTAGAGTAGGGCTTTGGGGTATATTATACTATGATTTTAATAAAGACCACCCCCCTCCCCCCCAAAAAAGTATATATATATATAAATAAATAAATAAATAAATAAATATATATATATATATAAATACATATATATATATATATATATGCTACCCCCCCCTCAGTTAT